CCACCACCGCCGCCCCCGTCGTCTCCTCTAGCACCCTTGAACCCCTTGCTCCTGTCATTGCGGCGCCTCCCACTAGGCGCAGACGCAGCGCCGACCGACCCGGTGCCAATGAGGTCTACAGCAGCAGTAGAGGCAATAGAAGGCAAAAGGGGAACAGGGGAGCACCCCTCAAAGAAAGTGTCAAACTCAAATTATATAGCTTGTGTAGGCTATAGTGGGGTAGACACTATGGGGTACAGTTTCCTAGGGTTTCCTACTTGTACCCAACCTTGTGCTAGGTCATTCATTCCTCATTCTTCACATGGTATAGAGCAGGTTCCCTAGTGGGAACGCTTCCTTGGGCCCACCACTGAAAATTTCCTTTCTGACCGGAGCGCCAGTTGCTCCTGCCCGAGGCGCGCCTTTTGCCGCCCTTTCCAGGCCCCTAGTGGCCCCTAGTGGCCTCGTCGCCGCCCCTCACGCGGCGCCGTTACCGCCCCTACGCGGCCCCGTCGCCGCCATTAGCGGCCCCGTCGCCGCCCCTAGCGGTCCCGTCGCCGCCTCTCACCCTAAGCGGCCCCGTCGCCGCCCCTACGGGCCCCTTCGCCGCCCCTCCGCGGCCCGTCGCCGCCCTTAGCGGCCCCGTCGCCGCCCCTAGCGGCCCCGTCGCCGCCTCTCACCCTACGCGGCCCCGTCGCCGCCCATACGCGGACCCGTCGACGCCCCTAGCAGCCCCGTCGCCGCCCCTACCGGCCCCGTCGCCGCCTCTCACCCTCAGCGGCCCCGTCGCCGCCCCTAAGAGGCCCCGTCGCCGACCCTAAGCGGCCCCATTGCCGCCCCCCCCCCCCCCCCCCCCCCCCTACGCGGCCCTGTCGCCTCCTCTAAGCGGCCCCGCTAACGCTCCTAAGCGGCCCCGTCGCCGCCCCTAAGCGGCCCCGACGCCGCCTCCTACGCGGCCCCGTCGCCGCCACTACACGGCCCCGTCGCCGCTCCCCTCCCTAAGCGGCCCCGTCGCTGCCCCTAGCGGCCCCGACGCCGCCTCTACCGAGAAGCCCAGCAGTAGAGCCGCCGTGCCGCCCAGCAGCAGAGCCGCCGAGCCGCCCAGAAGCAGAGCCGCCGAGCCGCCCAGCAGCCGAGCCGCCTAGCCGCGGAGCCGCCCGATAGCCGAGCCGCCCAGCAGCCGAACCGCCCGATAGCCGAGCCGCCCAACAGCCGAGCAGCTGAGCCGCCGAGCCGCCCTGCCGTCGAGGTGCTACCAATCCTACCGGCGCGCCCCGGCCCTACTTTCTCGTACTGGTGAGCTCACTCCTTGCTAGACCTCTGCAGTCATGGCTACCCCCAGTGTTCTTACCTTTGACACTGAGGGTCGTGCTGTTGACTTTGAGGTCTGGGTCGATGACCTCCAGCTGTTCCTCGAGTGCGATAGGGCAGACGGCCTCTCTCTGTTCGACCTCACCTCTGGTGCCTCCCATGCCTCACCTGCTACTGCTGACAGCACTGTTCGCTCACAGTGGGCGACGCGCGATGCTGCTGCCCGTCTTGCTATGCGTCGCCACTTACCGACCACTGAGCGTGCACACTTTAGCAAGTACAAGAGTGCTCAGACCTTGTACGACGCTATAGTTGCACGCTACTCTTCCCCTGCCACTGCTGCACTGAGCCGCCTCATGCTACCGTACCACTTCCTTGACCTTGCTGCCTTTGAGAAAACTGAAACGAGAATGATTGACTAAGGAACGAAAGTGATACAAATATGCAACCCTAGAAATGTGTACCCCTTATAGGCTACCCCACTATAGACTACACAACATTATAATTTGACACACCCCCATAGGCAAAGTGGGGGAGAACAAGGGGTCACAAGACCAGTCAAGCAAAACAAAGCAAATCTCAGGGTGGATCACAAAGTCACCACACATTCCGAGCACAAGTTCAAGGCCAGAAGGCTAGTTCACATGCAGGAACACATATATATATAACAGGCTAAACAAGCAAGAGCAGGAGTATATATATATGTGACAGTACAAGCAAGGTCAAGAAGTGAGTAAGTGAGGCAAGACAGGTACAAGACCAAGCTGAGTACAGAAGCGCTGATGATCACAAGGCGCAAGTGCCTTGGTGAAGATATGAGCAGTGTTGGCCTCAGATTCCACGTACGCAAGTCGCAACTGACCACGCTGCTGCAGCTTACAAGCAAGAAAGTAGCGGAGAGCAATGTGCTTCGTTCTGTGCTCCAGGCGCTACTCCCGACACAAGGCCAGCATGGCCTTGTTGTCTACGTACAGCACTGGAGGAGAACGAAGTGGCTCTCCGAGGTCATTCAGCAGGTAGGTGAGCCAGCGAAGCTCCTGAGCAGCCATGGCTCCGGCGTAGATCTCAGCCTCACAATTGGAGCCGAGAACAGAAGACGAGCGAGTAGCCCGCCACGAAACAGAGCCTGAACCAAGGCTGAAGGTGTAACCCTGTGACGACCGCTGTGTAGCCTGGTTGTCAGCCCAAGAAGCGTCTGCGTGCCCAGTGAGGACCACTGGACTCTGCCCTCCAAGCACTAGCCCCATGCCCGACATACTGCACAAGTAGCGCAACACCCTCTTCGCTGCAGCCATGTGCTCTGGTCTGTGTCTCCCAGGAGCAACATAGCGTGCAAGAATGCTAAGAGGGTATGCAAGGTCAGGTCGTGTGCAGGTCATCAGGTACATGAGGCAGCCAACAAGCTCTGGGTACGGGCCACTCGACTCTACGGACTCATCCGAAGGCAGAGCTGAGAGCGAGTGGCGAGTAGGCAGAGGAGTGGCCTGAGGCGAGGAGTACGTGAAGCCGAAGCGCTGAAGGACCTGCTGCACCATGTGTGACTGAGTCAGGGTAATGGTGCGGCGTGCTCTGTCCCGGGTGATCTGCAAGCCAAGGTAGCTGCGCAGTTCACCCAGGTCTGTGCACGTGTGTCTCTTCTGCAGCTCGGACTTCACGTGGGCGAGTCCAGCAATGTCAGCTGTGGCAAAGACCAAGTCGTCGACGTACACGAGGATGTAGAACGGCGGCAGAGAGGTGTCAGTGCGCAGAAACAGAGACGGGTCAGCAGTAGAGGGAGCAAACCCAAGAGCCGCAAGCGTAGTCCTCAGTGTGTCGTGCCACTCGCGCGGTGCCTGGCGGAGACAGTAGACTGGCGTCGGAGGCTCCACTGGGTGCCAAGAGGGAAAGTCCCAGTGAAGCCAGGTGGACGGCGCAGCCAGATCTCCTCGTGCAGGCTACCCTGCAAGAAAGCAGTGCTGAAGTCAAGGGAGTGAAGCTCGTAGTCACGCTGAGCGGCTATGTGTAGCAGCACCCGAAGAGTGGTCATCTTCGGGGTGGGAGAGAAGGTCTGAAAGTAGTCAACTCCCTGCCGCTGACTGAAGCCACGAGCCACGTACCGCGCCTTGAAGACAGGTGGAGAACCTGGAGGCCGCTTCACCCTGAAGATCCACATGCCACTGACGATGTTCGCCCCAGGAGGGGGAACTGCGTCAACGTAGGTGCCTGTGGACTTCCAGGAAGCCATCTCTGCGTCCATAGCTGCCTGCCACTGAGAGGAGTAGGGACCCTCTACGGCCTCCGCGTAAGAGGGCGGAGTCGGGATGTCAAGTGCATCCGGGTCTCCCTCAGGGGTAAGCAGTACGGACACGAGATAAGGTGAAGCAGCAGCCAGACACTGGAACTCCTCCCGCCTGTCCTCAAGGACGTCCGTGCCAAGAGCACACTCACCCCCGACGGACGGAGGACAGACAGACGCAGACTCAGCAACAAGACTAGCAGTGTAGTCTAGACGACAGCGAGCAGCAAAGTCGACGAACTTAGCAACAAGAGCAGACGCAGCAGTGGACTCAAAGGAGGGGTCAGTGACGACAGTAGCAATGAGACGCGTGACAGTAGGACTGGCAGCACGAAGGTAGTCCGACTCCGGGTCGGCAAGTGCAGGAAGAGAGGACTCAGGAGGAGAAGGCAAAGGGGCACGCAGAGGAGCAGTGGACGGACGCAGAGACATCCGGTGCATGCCGGGGACAGGAGGAGGACGCTGACGCGAACCGCGACCACTAGTGCGAGCAGCACAAACAGGCGACGCAGGACGAGACGCAGGCTCACGACGCTCAGCAAGACCTCCAGTAGGACCAGTGTAGGGAGAAGGAGCAGGCAGTGGGGAGGCCGGCGGAAGCTATGACGAGGACTGGACAGGCGGTGGACACTCTAAGGGAGGAGGAAGACCAAGAACCTGCTGAAGGAGCGGAACGAAGTACGGCCGAGGCCGCGCAGCGACTCAAGACACAGCAGGGACAGCACCAGCGCCAACACCAACGCCAGCTGCAGGACCTCCAGCAGGACCAGCAGCACCCGCAGCAGGACCAGAGCCAGCATCACCTCCAGCAGCACCAGCAGCACCCCCAGCAGAACCGTCTCCAGGACTGACAGCAGTAGCCTCAGCGCCAACACCCTCAGTAGCTCCAGCTCCAGGCGAACCTGCAGGTCCAGCAGCTCCAGTACTCGCGGCACGAGCACCTCCGGGACCGGCGGCACCAGCACCCTCAGCAGCCGAAGAAGCTCCAGCAGTACGCCTCCAGCGCCGGGCAAACCACTCACGCAGCTCCTGTGGAGAGAGTGGCTCCCGCCGAGACGAAGCACTCGGAGAACCTCCAGGCCCAGCACCGCCAGACGCCACACGAGCAGGCCCAGCGGCCGCCGGCTCCACACCCCCAGGCTCAGCAGCTCCAGACGTGGCAACCCACGCTCAGCACCTCCAGACGTAGGACCTCCAGGCTCAGCACCCCCAGGCGTAGCACCCCTAGGCTCAGCACCCCCAGGCGTAGCACCCCCAGGCTCAGCACTCCCAGGCGTAGCACCCCCAAGCTCAGCACCCCCAGCAGTACCACCCGAAGGCCCAGCACCCCCAGGCGTAGTACCCACCCGCGCAGCACCCCCAGAGTCAGCACCCCCAGGCTCAGCACCCACAGCAGCACCAGAGTCACCAGTAACCTCGACTGGCTCGACCGCGTCTACCTGGGACACACCTGAAGGGGCAAGACCCTGAGGGGGGAGGGGGTCTACCGGGGGGGGACCTGGCACAAGGAAGAGCGGTGGCGGGGGGAGGGATGGAGTGCGGTAGGGGAAGAGGCGGTATTAGGGGACCGACTCGTCAAACGTGACGTCCTGAGAGGACAAAACACGACGAGAGGTGGGGTGGTAGAACTGCCACCTTGGCGCGTCAGGGGGGAAGCCAAGGAAGACACAAGGAGCAGCACGAGGGGACAGCTTGTCCGCAGACAAGTCGCGGACAAACGCCCGAGATCCCCAGACACGGAACGCAGACGCATCGCCTACCTTCCCCGTCCACAGCAAAGCTGGGGAGGTCTCCGGCCTGGAGACCCTGGGGTGAAGGTTGATCTGATGCGCCGCGTACTGAACCGCAAACGGCCACAGAAAATGGGGGGCAGCCGCATGCATCATGGACGTACAAGCGACGTCCATGACCATGCCAATGCGGCGCTCAGCAATCCCATTTTGCTGTGGAGAGTCCAGAAGCGTAAAGGTCTGGCGGATGCCTCGCCCACGGCAGTAGGCTCGCAGAAGGACAGAGGAGAACTCTCCGCCTCTGTCAGAGTGCAGACGCAGAACAGGAAAGTCCGAGCCGAAGCTCCTTCTGAGCTGGAGACGAGCTGCGCGGATCCAGTCGATCAACACCTCAGTGACATCGCCCTTGCTGCGCAAGGGGAAGACTGTGGTGTAACGCGAGTAGTCGTCAACCACCAGCAGAAAGTAGCGCTCGTGACCCTGTCCACGGACGTGGGCCGGGCCCCACACGTCCATGTGAAGCGTCTTCAGCGGGGCCTCTGTCGGGGGAAACGGAGAGGAGTGAGGAGCAGCCCGTAGCCGCCCCTCGACACGGGGGACACAGGAAGGACCAGGCCCCGAAGGAAGGGGAGGGAGGGACCGGGGAAGACCAGAGACAAGGACACGGGAAGCCATGCCTCGGAGACGAGGCAGGGAGGGGTGACCAAGACGGTGGTGCCACAAGAGAGTCTCGTGAGACAGGAGGTGACACGAGCAGGGGGCAGACTCAGGACCAGACCTGGACGCTGCAGCAAACACCTGACCCGACGCAGCTACCTGACCAGACGCAGGGACAGGAGGAGACTCAGTGGTCAGGGTGTAGAGGCTCGACCCCAGCCGACGCGTAAACGTGGCCAGGTGCCGGCCTGTGCGAGCGTCCGAGCAGTGGGTCACCCGCTGACTCGCAGGAGTAAACTGGTGAACCCCCGCATCCTGCAGGTCAGCACCACTCACCAAGTTCGTAGAGAACGAGGGGAGGTAAAGACCAGACAAGGTGCCAGAGGGGGCAGCCGGACACGGGAGGACAGTGGAGAAGTGAGAGAGGACAGGACCCCCAGAGGGGTTTGCCAGGGAGACTGCAACCGGCCGACCAAGCGGCGTGAGTGTGGTGCGGTCTCGAAAGAAGGAGCGAGAAGCCCCTGAGTCAAGTGTGAAGGTGAGGGAGGCCGAAGCCGACGCGGTACCTGAGAGCGCAGACTCACCAGTACCTGAGGACGCAGACGCACTGGCACCTAGAGCAACAGCCGCACTAGCACCTAGAGCAGTAGCCTCACCAGCACCTAGAGCAGCAGTCTCAATGCCCGGATCGGGCGGGAAACACCGGTAACAGTCATCCTCGTCACTATAAGTCACAGCATACATGGCAGCAAGAATAGCATCAAAGCCAAGATCAAAGATAGCTACACCTTCCCTAGACAGCTCTCCCCAGCGGGGGATCTCAGCGGCCTCCGGGAACTGGTGACGCCAAGCGTCCGTCAGGCGGCCAAAGCAACGCTAGGTGGAGTGGGCACCCCCACACTGCTCACCCGCGCGGTCGCCGGTGCGAAGGACGTAGGTGCACGGACCAAAACCCCCACCACGCAGACGCGCAGCGTACCACTCACGGAGCTGCTGAGGGGCGGGGATGTCCCGAGAACGCTGCTGCTGCTGCTGCTGGCGCTGACCACCACCGGAGCCGCTCCGCTGCGAAGCGCCACCCCGACCAGCTCCAACTCCTCCACCACCGCCTCCTCCACCTCCGCCACCACCGCCGCCTCTGCTCCCACCGCTACCGCCTCCGCCGCCTCCGCCTCCACTGCTGCCACCGACACCTCCACCCCCGCCACCACTCCCACCGCCACCCCCACTCCCTCCGCCGCCTCCCCCGCCACCTCCACCACCCCCGCTAGCTCCACCCGCGCCCTTGCCCCCTTTGCCCTTGCCAGATCGGCGTCTCCCGCTAGGGGCAGACGCCGCACCGACCGACTCAAGACCAACAAGGTCGGCCGCAGCAGCAGAGGCGATAGAGGGCAAAAGGGGGGAAGGGGAACACCCCTCAAAGATGGGGGTGCGAGGGTCACCACGAGAGGCTCCTACAGCGACTATGCTCTTCTCCACTGCTAGGAGGGCCTTCTCTAGGAGGACAACAGTGAGAGTGGTGGGACAGACCGAGAGGAAGTGGTCCCTGACTACACGAAGGGAGTCAGGGAGGCGGGTGACTATATATTAGAGAGTGATGTACATGGGGGGGGGGTTCTTGGCGCAGAACTCAGCAGGAAGCGCAGCACGGTAGCGAGTGTCACTAGTGCAGAGGTGCGTAATGAGGTCAGCGACTGTGGGAAAGGCAGCAAGATCAGGGAAGAGGTACGGCAGCATGAGGCGGCTCAGTGCAGCAGTGGCAGGGGAAGAGTAGCGCGCAACTACGGCGTCGTACAAGGTCTGAGCACTCTTGTACTGACTAAAGTGTGCGCGCTCAGTGGTAGGCAGGTGGCGACGCACAGCAAGACGTGCAGCAGCATCGCAAGTGGCCCACTGGGAGCGAACAGTGGCGTCGGCATCGGCAGCAGGGGCAGGGGAGGCACCAGAGGTGAGGTCAAAGAAGGAGAGACCGTCTGCCCTATCGCACTGTAGGAAAAGCTGCAGGTCATCTACCCAGACCTCAAAGTCAATGGCCCGACCCTCACCGTCAAAAGCGAGAACACTGGGGGTGGCCATGATAGCAGTAGGCTAGTAGTGCTAACTGTAGGACAGGGGCAGTGCAGTGTCAGAAGCGCTGCTCTCACAGGACAGGGCGGTTCGGGCAGCTCGGCAGCACAGCAGCACGTCAACACGGCGGCTCGGGCGACTCGGGCGGCTCAGCAGCAACTGCGGCTCGGCGGCACCAGCGGCTCGGCTCCTCTGCGGCTCAGGCGGCTCGGGCGGCTCGGGCGGCTCGGGCGGCTCGGGCGGCTCGGGCGGTTCGGGCGGCTCGGGCGGCTCGGGCGGAACGGACGGCTCGGGCGGCTTGGGCGGCTCGGGCGGCTCGGGCGGCTCGGTAGGGCGGCGGGGCCGCAGCGAAGGGCGGCGGGGCCGCAGCGAAGGGCGGCGGGGCCGCAGCGAATGGCGGCGGGGCCGCAAGGTAGGCGCCGGGGCCGCAGCGAGAGGGGCGGCGGGGCCGTAGCGAAGGGCGGCGGAGCCGTAAGGTAGGCGGCGGGGCCGCAACGAGAGGGGCAGCGGGGGCGTAGCGAAGGGCGGCGGGGCCATAGCGAAGGGCGGCGAGGCCGCAAAGAAGGGCGGCGGGGCCGCAGCGAAGGGCGGCGGGGCCGCAGCGAAGGGCGGTGGGGCCGGGACAGGGCGGCGCCGGGGCCGTAGGGCGAGGCGACGGGGCCGTAGGGCTAGGCGACGGGGCCGCTAGGACGATGGGGCCGCCAGGGCGACGGGGCCGCTAGGGCAACGGGGCCGCTAGGGCGGCGCGACGCAGTGACAGAGAGGAGCGCGACTCGGGCTGAGCGCGCTCCGGGCAGGAAAAAAAAAATCGATGTGGTGGACCCTAGGCACAGTTCCCACTAGGGAACCTGCTCGATACCATGAGAAAACTGAAACGAGAATGATTGACTAAGGAACCAAAGTGATACAAATATGCAACCCTAGAAATGTGTACCCCATATAGGCTACCCCACTATAGCCTACACAACATTATAATTTGTCAGCCTTTCCCACAGTCGCTGACCTCATTACGCACCTCCGCACTAGTGACACTCGCTACCGCGCTGCGCTTCCTGCTGAGTTCTGCGCCAAGAACCCCCCCCCCCCCCCCCCCCCCCGATGTACATCACCCTCTACTACATAGTCACCCGGCTCTTTGACTCTCTTCGCTTAGTCAGGGACCACTTCCTCTCAGTTTGCCCCACCACTCTCACCGTTGACCTCCTCGAGGAGTGCCTCCTAGCAGCAGAGAAGAGCATAGTAGCTGTAGGAGCCTCTCGTGGTAACCCTCGCACCCCCGTCTTTGAGGGGTGTTCCCCCTCCCCCCTCTTGCCCTCTGTTGCTTCTGCTATTGCTGCTAACCTCGTTGGTTCTACGGGGTCGGCGCTGCGTCAGCCCCTAGCGGGAGATGCCGCACCGGCAAGGGCAAGGGGGGCAAGGGAACTGGAGGGGCTAGCGGGGGCGGTGGAGGTGGTGGTGGAGGCAGTGGAGGGAGTGGGGGTGGAGGTGGGAGTGGTGGCGGGGGTGGCGGCGGCGGTGGCAGCAGTGGAGGCGGAGCAGGCGGTGGTGGTGGCGGAGGGAGCGGAGGCGGCGGAGGTGGCGGAGGAGGCGGAGGTGGCGGAGGCGGCGGAGGCGGCACCGGCAGCGGCGGTGGAGCTGGTCGCGACTCTGCACAGAGGAGTGGGTCCGGTGGTGGTCCGCGCCAGCACCAGCAGCGCGGTCGTGAGACCGTGTCCCCTCAGCAGCTTCGTGAGTGATACGCTGCGCGTCAGGGTGGTGGGGGTACTGGTCCCTGCACTTACGTCCTCCGTACCGGCGACCGAGCTGGTGAGCAGTGCGGGGGCCCGCACTCCACCCAGCGCTGCTTCGGCCGCCTGACGGATGCGTGGCGTCATCAGTTCCTTGAGGCGTCAGAGATCCCTCGCTGGGGAGATCTGTCTAGGGCGGGGGTTGCCATCTTTGATCTTGACTATGATGCTATCCTTGCTGCCATGTATGCTGTGACTACTAGTGTTGAGGGTGACTGTTACCTGTGTGTACCGCCTGACCCGGGCATTGAGGCTACTGCTCTAGGTGCTGGTGAGGCTGCTGCTCTAGGTGCTAGTGCGTCTGCTGCCCCAGGTGCTAGTGCGTTTTCTGCCCCAGGTGCTGGTGAGTCTGCTCTCTAAGGTACTACGTCGCCTCAGGCCTTACACACCTTCACCCTTGACTCGGGTGCGTCCCGCTCCTTCATTCGAGACCGCACCACGCTTACGCCGCTTAGTCAGCCGGTTGCAGTCTCCCTGGCGGACCCCTCTGGGGGTCCTGTCCTTGCTAGCGTCTCCACTGTCTTACCGTGCCCGGCAGCCCCCTCTGACACCCTGTCAGGTCTCTACCTCCCCTCGTTCTCTATGAGTGGAGCGGACCTACAGGATAGGGGGGTTGACCAGTTCACTCCTGCGAGTCAGCGGGTGACCCACTGCACGTGTGCTCGGACAGGCCGACACTTGGCCACGTTCACCCGTCGACCAGGGTCGAGCCTGTACACCCTTACTTCTGAGTCTCCTCCGGCTGCTGAGTCTGGCCAGGTAGCTTCGTCGAGTCAGGTGTTTGCTGCAGCGTCCAGGTCTGATCCTGAGTCTGCTCCCTGCTCGTGTCGTCTACTGTCCCACCAGAATCTCCTATGGTACCACCGCCTTGGTCACCCCTCCCTGCCTCGTCTCCGAGGCATGGCCTCCCGTGTCCTTGTCTCTGGTCTCCCCAGGTCTCTCCCTCCCGTACCTCCAGGGCTTGGCCCTACCTGCGTCCCCTGCGTTGAGGGGCGACAGCGCGCAGCCCCTCACTCCTCCGAGTATTCTCCGACAGACTCTCCACATGGACGTGTGGGGCCCCGCCTGCGTCCGTGGACAAGGTCATGAGCGTTACTTCCTGTTGGTGGTTGACGACTTCTCGCGTTACACCACAGTCTTCCCCTTGCGCAGCAAGGGTGACATCACTGAGGTGTTGATCGACTGGATCCGCGCAGCTCGTCTCCAGCTCTGGGAGAGTTTCGGCTCGGACTTTCCTGTTCTACGTCTGCCCTCTGACAGAGGCGGGGAGTTTTCCTCTGCCCGTCTGGGAGCCTTCTGTCGTGCATAGGGCATCGGCCAGACCTTCACGCTTCCGGCCTCTCCACAGCAAAATGGGATTGCTGAGCGCCGCATTGGCATGGTCATGGACGTTGCTCGTACGTCCATGATGCATGCGGCTGCCCCCCATTTTCTGTGGCTGTTTACGGTTCAGTACGTAGCGCATCAGCTCAACCTTCAGCCCCGGGTCTCCTTGCCAAAGACCTCCCCCACCTTGCGGTGGACGGGGAAGGTTGGCGATGCGTCTGTGTTTCGGGTCTGGGGATCTCGGGCGTTTGTCCGCGACTTGTCTGCAGACAAGCTGTCCCCCCGTGCTGTTCCTTGCGTCTTCCTTAGCTTCCCCTCTGACGCGCCTGGTTGGCAGTTTTACCACCCCACCTCGCGCCGTGTTCTGTCCTCCCAGGACGTCACCTTTGACGAGACGGTACCTTACTACCGTCTCTTCCCTTACCGCACTGCGCCCCTTCCCCTGCCCCCGCTCTTCCTTGCGCCATGTCCTCCTCTGGTAGACCCCCTCCCCCCTCAGGGTCCTGCCCCGCCAGGTGTGTCTCGGGTAGACGCAGTCGAGCGTGTCGAGGTAGCTGTTGACTCTGGTGCTATTAGAGCTGCTGAGCCTGCAGGTGCCGGGTCTGGCGGGGCTGAGTCTGGGGGTGCTGAGCCTGGGGGTGCTGAGTTAGGGACTGCGGAGCCTAGGGATGCGGAGCCTGGGGGCGCTGGGTCTGCTCGTGTGGCCGCCGGCGGTGCTTCGTCGAGGCGGGAGCCACTCTCTCCACAGGAGCTGCGCGAGTGGTTTGCCCGGCGCTGGAGCCGTGCTGCTGGAGCTGGAGGTACTACTGTTGCTGCTGGTCCCGGAGGTGCTCGTACTTGAGGTACTGGAGCTGCTGGGACAGGGGGTGCTGCTGGGGCTGCTAGAGTTGGTCTTGCTAGAGCTACTGGCGGTACTGGAGCTGCCGGTCCTGCTGGAGTTGGTGCTGCTGGAGCTGCTGGAGCTGGAGCTGCTGGGGGTGTTGGCACTAGTGTTTCTGCTGGCGCTGGTGCGTCTGAGGGTGCTGGAGTTGGCGCTGTTGGAGCTGGAGGTGCTGCTGGCGCTGGTGCTGCCGCTGGGGGTACAGGTGTTGTCCTTGCTGGCTCTGGAGGAGCTGCGCGGCCGAGGCCGTACTTCTTTCCACTCCTTGAGCAGGTTCTTGGTCTCCCGCCCTCTACTGGTCCTGCTCTTCCCTTAGAGTGTCCGCAGCCTGTCCAGTCGCAGTCACAGTTACAGACCGCCTCCCCCCTTCCTGCTCCTTCTCCCTACACTTGTCCTACTGGAGGTCTTGCTGAGCCTTGTGAGCCTGCGTCTCGTCCTGCGTCGCCTGTTCGTGCTGCTCGTACTAGTGGTCGTGCTTCGCGTCCGCGTCCTTTTGCGGTCCCAGGCACAGACCAGATGGCACTGCGTCCTTCCACTGCTCCTCTACGAGTCCCGTTGCCGTCTCCTCCAGAGTCCTCTCTTCCTGTTCTTGCTGACCTGGAGTCTGACTCTCTAAGTGCTGCCAGTCCTACTGTCACGCGTCTCCTGGCCACTGTTGTCACTGACCCTTCCTTTGAGTCCACTGCTGCGTCTGCCCTAGTTGCTGAGCTTGTCGACTTTGCTGCTCGCTGTCGTCAAGACTACACTGCTAGTCTTGTTGCTGAGTCTGAGTCTGTCTGTCCTACGTCTGTCGAGGGTGAGTGTGCTCTTAGCATGGACGTCCTTGAGGACAGGCAGGAGGAGTTCCGATGTTTTGCTGCTGCTTCGCCTCATCTCGTGTCCACGCTGATTGCCCATGAGGGAGACCCGGATGCACCAAACATCCCGACTCCTCGATCGTACGCTGAGGCGATCGAGGGTCCCTACTCCTCACAGTGGCAGTCAGCCATGCACGCAGAGATGGCTTCCTGGAAGTC